GCCCCAACATTCATCTTTAAACCTCAAAGCACAAGAGTTTATGAGGGGGATTCGGCCAGACTTGAATGCCAAGTGTCTGCTATCCCCCCACCACAAATATACTGGAAGAGAAATAATGAAATGGTACAATTCAATACAGACAGAATCAGGTAGGTATCTGCATCATGATGGGCCTGTCAGCTATTCAGGAGTCAAGTTGAATCAAATACTATTGGTGGGTCTAGTTTAAAGGTTTACAAACTGACATGTGGTGTTTTTGGCTCCAAGCATTGGGGGAAACGGAATTGCTATGTTTTTCAGCTTCATCACTCTTCTACAAAAAAAGTGTTGTTCAGAAGACTGTATTATAGTCTGCAGTGTGGGAGAGCATTTTTGCTTTAAGCAGTCTTGAGCTAGATGTGGACTAGATGTTGAATGTGGAGAAGGGGCCCTCCAAAGTGACTGCATAATGGAAATTTGGAAAATATTAGAAACTGTTAGGACCTGAAAAGTGGGAGGGGATCTGCAAGATGAGGACTTGCTTACATGGCCTGATACTACGTTCAGCTCAAGGGCATTGCTGGACAGTATCTATAGCGCCCCCTGGGTATGGTCTAAAGGGACATGAGACCGCCATCTTGTTGAAGCTAAGTAGGCCTGCCCAGGATCTGGGTGGATGACCTCCTGGAAAACACATTCATGCTGCTTTGAGTTCCATGATGGAAGAAAGGCAAAACATAAATATCAGCAAATTTATATATGCAGCTGACCTGGCAATACTTAACAAGAATGATTTTCATGAAGTATATTAGTCTTAAGGTAGGAGAGGGGACTGTAATCTTCAATTTTTTTGTCATTTTTCTCTTTTCCTAGTATGTTTCATGATACCTCTGGGAAGGTTTGCTTGCTGATCCACAATGTAAATAAGAAAGATGCTGGTTGGTACACAGTATCTGCTGTCAACGAGGCAGGAGTGGCAACGTGCCATGCCAGATTGGACGTGGCTAGTAAGTACTTCTTCTTCTTTTTCTTCTTCTACATATATGAATGTTACTACCCCCACCCCCAAAAAAAAACGTGAACCCAGGCCAATTGAAACGCGGGTGGCGCTGTGGGTTAAACCAGAGCCTAGGACTTGCTGATCAGAAGGTCGGCGGTTCGAATCCCCGCAACGGGGTGAGCTCCCGTTGCTCGGTCCCTGCTCCTGCCAACCTAGCAGTTTGAAAGCGTGTCAAAGTGCAAGTAGATAAATAGGTACCGTTCTGGCGGGAAGGTAAACGGCGTTCCATGCTCTGCTCTGGTTCACCAGAAGCGGCTTAGTCATGCTGGCCACATGACCTGGAAGCTGTATGCTGGCTCCCTTGGCCAATAAAGTGAGATGAGCGCCGCAACCCCAGAGTCGGTCACGACTGGACCTAATGGTCAGGGGGTCCCTTTACCTTTACTTAATTTTGCATACAGTTGGACTGAAGATGTGAAAGATGGAAGGTATTGATGCACCAAGTATATGAACCTGTTTAATTGGTATGATTGCCTAAACTCCCTTTATGTGTCTTGCATGTAGCACAGATGATCTAGCAAGCTGAAATAGGGCGACTTACTTGATTGGACTGTATCCTGCTTTTCTCTCCCCCACTTTTTAAACAAAGTAATCTGAATTACTTCTCTTTGCTCTCTAAAATCTATTTCAGCTCACACATACAAGCCAGTTCCAAACCCCAAACCACTGAAGGTTCGACCAACTTTTAGCAAATACTTGGCACTCAATGGTAAAGGTCTAGATGTGAAACAAGCTTTCTTCCCGGATGAAGGAGAGTTTCAGCGTATGGCAGCACAGTCTGGACTCTATGAGAGCGATGAACTTTAACTGGCAACAGGGAAGAAACTTTCACTCCTGCAACAGACATTTATGAACAGCACATGCAGTTAAGGGGTTATTGCGCTGATAAGCAAACATACCTAATATATTTTTATTTATTATTTAACTCCTGCTCTTAGTTCTGCTGTTGTGATTATACTAAGTCTGATTTTTATAAATGTGTGTGACTGTAGCAAGAAGGAGATCCAAATGTTTGTATTTTTAATTTTAAAGGCCAAGAATCAAGGCCAGTGGATGATCATGAAAGTGTAGATGGTTTGAATGCATCTAGATTCAGTCACAATATTTTTATTTGTACTGCTTTGTTAATACCATGCCCCATAGTATTATAATTTTCTGCTGCCTGGCTATTAAACATAACTTGAGTGCTTTTAATGAAAGTTTTATGTCTGATGCAAATAAAATTTTAAATATAAGACTTGTCATGTGCTTTATCCTTATAAGTTTTGTGAGTTGTTGTTGTTTTATTATTATGTGAGCTTTGGGTATTCTCTGTTACAGAAATTCTCAACAAAATTGTCATAAACAGTACTTGACTAAAGAAAATTGTCATTAGTATTTGGTTTAAAGCCAGACAAAGAAGAGAGTATAAAAATAAATCTGAAGGAACTGCACAACTACCGCCAGGCCATAAACAGTACAGTATGTTGAATATTTATTTAATTTGTATTCTGCATTTCCAAAAGCACTCAGGCTGGCAAATATCAAAATGTGAAACAGTGCAATTTAAAATAAAATAGAAAGAACATAAAAAATAATATTTAAGATAAAGTAATATTTAAGAGAAAATAATGATATAATAATATAATATTAAAAACATTTTAAAAATTCAGCATTGCACATTCCATTTGCGCTTATGAACCAATATTTTGATGCTGCATTTTGGGGTATGTTGGCTGGTTTCACTGGCCTGGTTTTGCTGCAGTGCCATGCTGAGCTAAGTCATGGTTGGCTTAGCATGTCCAAACCTGGGCTCATATTCTCCCTGGGGAAGAGCAAAGTTGCCATGGTCTCATCTCTGGGTGCTCATGGATTTTAAGAATTAGTCCGCTGGATAGCAGAACTTCAGACATAAGGAAAGTAGACAAAGGAAGAGTTTTCAACTCCCCCAGTATCTTGCTTTTGCTTTTTGAGAACCCTACTAGCTTCCCTTAAAAATGCTAAACTAGGCCTACAGCCACACCACCCTGAATGCACCCGATCCCGTCTGATCTTGGAAGTTAAGCAGGGTCGGGCCTGGTTAGTACTTGGATGGGGAAAATGCTAAAATAGTTAACTAAAGTGCTGGTTTCACTGTAATTAATGAGTTTTGACAGACTGAAGTAAAGGCAGCTTCCTGCAGATCGTGAAAGCAAAGTCTAGGTGATTTGAAACCCTTGCATTCAGGCTATAATAATAATAACTTGCAAGACCTTGAATATACTGTTGCATGACACCTTCAGTCTCCAAGCTGTGGGGTTCCAGATGCTCGCCCAGCGTTCATGTTTCCTTTTGGAAATGAGGCCCAGCAGACACTGTGGTGTCTTTAGGACATAAGGTTTATTTACACAAATACAGTCTGAGCCTATGATGGAGGGGTTCACAGCATTAGCACTCGAAGAGGGTCTTGCTTCTCCGATAGGTGCAGATTTGGATTCAAACAGACATCAAACATCCTGCACTTATCCTCTCTCCAGCTTGCTACCTTTACCAGACTGCATCCTTTTCCCTCCAGCTCATGTCCAAGCCAACTCTAAAGACTCCACTTCAGACTCTGGCTTTGTCTTGTAACTAACTCCCATTTGCCATTTGGCACAGAGCACCCTCTCTTTGGCGTTCCTAATGGCTCATCAGCTTCCTTTTGTTCTGGCTTACATTTTAAAATACTGTACTGGACCCAGGAATTTAGGGGAATTTGGTACCCACAAACTCATAATACTACAAATACCATGAGCTTTCAGAATCTTTTTATTTTATGGATTGTGCGACGTGGTTTGTAAGAAACACTTGAAGTAGCATCGTTCTAGGTACTCCCTAGGCTGAGCTGCTCTTAAATCCCCCTTCCATGTGCCGAGTCATAGATTCCTTGGAGTGGAATATCTCTAATAGTTAACCATTAACATGAATAATAAGAAAATTTTTGTGAGATACACAGGCTGAGACTTTTAGGACTTTTCTCAAAGGCAGCTATTTCATAATTGGGCCCCAGCAACGTGGTTCTTGCAGCTCCATTCCATCTCTGCCCTCCCTCCATTGGTCAGCCATCTGTGCCCATGGAGCATACCCATAGGCAGTGTTGGGGTTCTTTCTGCTCCATTTAGGTCTCCTCACTCCTGTTTCTGTAGGTGGAGGACACAGCTGCACTGAATTATTTAGTTGCTCCATTGATGTCCACAGACAGGTCTCTTCTGGGCCTGGAGGCAATGAAAACTATCTTGTGTGAACCAAGAAGTGACATGCAGGAAATGAGATGCTTCTTTCTACAGTTTTTATATACAGTATTTCTCTGTTCCCATCAAGAGTCTCTCAACATTCTATGCCACTGAATTAATGGGATGTGTTGGTTTGTTCCTGGTGGGGTGGAGGTAAGGAATCCACACAGGTTTTTTTCTGCCAATTTTTCTGTACTTATTTATACCTTGGGGTTAGTCTGTACCTGCCAATATTTCTCAGTATTTCGTGTGTTGGGTGTGGTTTTGGCTGCATAAGCATGAGCACAGGAAGACTCAATATAGAATATAAGGTAAAGGTACCCCTGCCCGTACGGGCTAGTCTTGACAGACTCTAGGGTTGTGCGCTCATCTCACTCTATAGGCCGGGAGCCAGCGCTGTCCGCAGACACTTTCGGGTCACGTGGCCAGTGTGACAAGCTGCATCTGGTGAGCCAGCGCAGCACACGGAACGCTGTTTACCTTCCCGCTGGTAAGCGGTCCCTATTTATCTACTTGCACCCGGGGGTGCTTTCGAACTGCTAGGTTGGCAGGCGCTGGGATCGAACGACGGGAGCGCACCCCGCCGCGGGGATTCGAACCGCCGACCATGCGATCGGCAAGTCCTAGGCGCTGAGGTTTTACCCACAGCGCCACCCGTGTCCCTCAATATAGAATATAGATAATAATTTATCATATATTGTATATTGCATGGCATACAACATAATCATAACGCTATAAAATCCATGAAAACACAAAGTACATTTCTAAAAAAAATTGCAACCAATGCTTAAAGCAAGGAAAGTCTAGCAAAAAGCATAAAAAGCTATACATTAAAACTAGCGACAATAAAGATCGGTGTTACACATTAAAAGCCCAACCATGTAATAACTTACATTACACTGTATTTTTTTAGTTTTAAAAGTGTAAAGTGGGATTATACATCCAAGAAATAACGTATGACAATTCAAAAATAGTGAAAAAGTTCATGCATGTTCTGTGTGCACCTGTTTAGTATCAGGGTGCCTCAGTCATTGTGATTGTGTGTCTAACTAGAGGCATCTTAATCTCTGAAGCACAGAAGCAATGTGTATCAGAAGCAATGTGCTGGAAAAGGTGGGGTGACAAAATGGATATGCTGTCCAGTGACTTTGTTCCACACAAATTCATACAGGCAAGAGAAATATGCTTTGGGTTTCTATAGGGCAGATTTCCACATTTTAAAAAATCTGTCATTGCAGATCGGGCCAACTAAGGAATCCAGGTGCATGAAGAAATATCTGACATGAGGTTGGAAACTAGTTTCAGACTTCATGGGTATGCAATACCCTGCTGGAAAATGGCAATTGTAGTAGGATGCTGTGACTCAGATATTTATTTCTGATTTATGACTGCTCACAGGGATGCTGGGACATTCCATCTGGAGATATTTTCAAACACCTAATCCTTTCCCACCTGATCTTACTTATGAACTTGCTCTATTAAAGTTATTTCTGTCTTCAGTAAGAAGTGGTTTCTGAATATTTAAAAACCCAAAATTACAGAGAGAAGACAGGAATCAGCAAGAAAGCAGATGATGCATATTATTATACTTTATAAAAATAATATAATATTTTAGAGATCAATGGCATGATTTGAAACATCCACATCAATTAACCTCCCAATATTACTGGCAGGATGAAGCTCTTCCAAATTCAGAACTTTCCAGACAGGCTGATTAAACATAGTATGCCGTCAAATAATAGTTGCTGGGAATCACAAGTGTGGAATGTGTTGTTGCGTTCATGTCTTGCTTTGTGACCTTCTCACAGAGATATTGTTGGCCACTATTGAAAACAGGATGCTGGACAATGACAGGGCTTTCAATCCATAAGAAGATCCAGCAGACCTCTTTTTATACAGTATTATTAAAGCAGGCTTGTGCTTCTGTAATTTTATATTGAGAAGAGGGGATTTTAGCAGGTGGAGCTGCTGGTTTTAGATGTGACCAGCTCCACTTTGGAAATCCACACAATTCCCAAGGCTGTAACCTTAACTTATGCTTTCTTCCTCGAACGAGTCCCATTCAGCAACATGAGGCTGACTTCCGAGCACCTGATATGCAAAAAGGTAGAAGGAGCCTCGGCCACCTGTGCACTTGGCGAGCTACCTTAACTGCAAAATGAAGTTTATACCGAATGTTATATTTGAGAGCCAATGTGGACCTGGGAAAAACCAGTGTTCAAATCCCCACTTGGGCATGAAGCTCACTGGGTGACCTTGGGCCAGTCACTAACCTACCTCACAGGGTCGTCGTGTGGATTAAATGAGGAGGGCAGAAGTATCCCGCTCAGAAGTATGCCTCATATTTGTCCATGGGCTTACTCTCAGGGTGGCAGGTTTATTTCCCCACGGGAGTGATGAGTTAAGGGGGTAGCATTAGTATGTCTGCATCCCCAGCTGTAATCCATCTTTGTGGGGCGGAACTTGTGGTGGGAGCCCGCCTGCCCGACGGGGCACCTTGGCGCGGTAAAGCGAAGGCGCGTCGCGTGTAGAGAAGCAGCCTCTACCCCGCCAAGGCAGCCGGCCCGTTCGTTACTTCGAACCCGGCGCGGGGCGGGGGCGAGGCAAGCGCCCCGCGAGGAGAAGCGGCTCCTCTTCTCCCTCCCGAGAGTCGCCATGGCTGTGTCCACCCAGGACTCGTCAGTCCTAGAGCGGCGAAGCAGTTTCGGTGAGTAGTAATGGCTGCTGGGGCGGAGAGCCCAACTGTCGGGGAGAGGGCCGAACTAGGCCTCTGCTCGCTGGCTCAGCGTCTTGGCTGGTCTCTCCCCACGTTGCCTCTAGTCAGGGCCACAGGCCGCCCAGTCTTTAGCTTCAGGGCGACAGTGCCATTCCCACTACTTCCTATTCCCTGCCGAATGATAATACAGTACTTATTCTTCTTATGATGGAAGGCTTGGAAGAGGGAGGAGGAGGAGACGCCTCCCAAGCGAGGCCTGAGGACCTGGAGTAAAAATAAAAATAAACCAGAAATGCCGCTGCTGTTCAAAACGTAGATACCACTTCGACGACGCCAACCCCCCACCCCAAACCATTTCCCCACAGTCCCATTGCTGGCAACGTGGCTTGACAAGGTGTCCGCATACCCTCCATCCCCACACAATCAAATTCATACATTTTGTATGAGGAGCTTAAGGAAACAAGTACGTAGAGACTGGTTGGATTCTACCAAATGGCATTTGGTTCCTAGCAGGAATAGCCAGGCAGATGCTACTGGCAATTCAGAAGCAGCCATGCAGGCGCTCCTGTTTAACTCAGTGAGGGTTTCTCCTAGGAAGTGCAGCTAGGCTTGCCATGCATTTTAAAGTACATGATTCCCCTCAAATAATTCTGGGAACCGTAGTTTGTTAAGGGTGTTAGGCACTGCAGCTCTGTGCAAGGTAAACTACAGTTTCTAGGATTCGGGGAGTGGGGTGTGTATTTTAAATGTATGGCACATAGATACCCTTACTTGCATTCAGCGCTATCAGAAGCTAGTTGATATATTTAAGTTTACATCTGTCTTTTACCACAGTCTACAGATAATTGAATATTCATTTTTCTTGCAACGTAGAAGCATGCTTTTGTTTGGTTAGGTTTGATCATTCATAGTTTTTCACATTTTCTTTGTGTTCTTTCTGAAAACTTCATATTTTATAGGGAGTATTAAACCTCGTCTGACTCATAGCAGAGAACTTGAAATGAGAACTACCTTTCAAGAGCTACTGATTTACATAATTTTCCTTACAGATCTATGTATATGTAAGTCATGGGGAAAGGGGGATTGTTGACATGCAAATTCTGCTCCCCCCAAAAAAAACATTTCATGAGGTGCAAATAATGAATTACTTGGTTTGCAAGCCCTATGCAACTTGAAAATGGTATAAATGTAGGGTGGGGTGGGGAACCTTAGGCCTGGGAGCTGAAGGCGTTCCTCAAAGCTTCTCTACCCAGCCCTGGGAACTCTGTCCAGACTACAGTCCTCACTGGATGAGTTTCACAACCTACTTGAACTGTTCTTGAACTGTGTCTTTTAAGTGTGATAATGCCACTTGTTTGCCTAGGACGATGATGGAGGTGTGGATGTGGGTGGCGGTGGTGTAGAAACCTCTATTGTGTAGCTGGAATTTAGCCTATTGTACAACATCACATCTGTTGCTCTGCCCCTATTTGTTTTTGGCCCAACCTAACACTGACATTTGACCCCTGGATGGTTGCCCATAGCCTAACCCAGTGTTTCCCAACCACTGTTCCGCGGCACACTAGTGTGCCGCGAGATGTTGCCTGGTGTGCCGCGGGAAAAATTAAAAAATTGAAAGATTTTTTTTTTAAGTCAAATTTTCGATTGGGGCGCCGTCACTAGATGACCCCTGGGGCTCCCTCCCTCCCTCCCGCTCTGCGCCTCCCTCCTCCTCCTCCGGGGAGGCCCTTCCTGGCTCTCGGCCAAGGCTTGGCGGCTGCCACTCACTCACTCGCTCGCCCACCCGTCCCTCCATCCCTGCACCCGGCCTCTCCCCCTCCGTCCCCGGCGCGGGGGCTGCCGGGATCCGTAGTCCCCTCGCCCTTGGGCTCCGCGCCCGCGCGGGGTGTGCGAACTACGTTTCCCAGCGTGGCCTGGCGGGCCGGGCGTTTTGTTTGAAGCGCTCTTCTCCCGGCCATGGAATGAGCGCGGCGGCGGCGGCCGGGCGGGCAGGGGCTCTTCCGCGCAGACCCCGCGCAGCCTGCCTGCGCCCCCGCGGAGATCGGGCGGCAGGATGGAGGCCGGGGATCCCCGCGGAGGCGGAGCGGCGGAGGCGGAGGCTGCCCCCCAGGTAGGGCTGCGTCGGGGGTTTTTTATTTTTGCAATGCTGCATCCGCGCCGGAGGGGACGCATCGGACCGCGGGGAGACCCCTTGGCGGGCGTGCAAGGCAATGCATGCGTGCAGGCGTTGCATGGAGTGCAGTGCAATGCAATGGCAACGCGGCGCCCTGCATGCATGCATGCAACTTCCACCGGCGCTCCGGACTTGGCAGGTGAGGGGGGTCCCCAGTGGGCGGCAGAGAGAGCCGGGAGGGCGAAGGGGAGCCGGGGGGGAGCAGCGCTGCTCCCCGAGCCGAGCCCGGGGGGAAACTTCGGCGTCGTTGCGCCGGGTGTTGGAAGCGGAGGCTGGCGGGGGCCCCTCACCTGCAAAACCTGGTCGCCTCTCATATATTTCGTGCATTGCATTCATCGCCCGCTTTCTCCTCCAAGGAGCTCCCGGGGGCGCGCATGGTTCTCCCGGTGTTATCCTCGCAACAACAGTCCTGCGAGGTGGGTCAGGCGAGTGGCCCAAGGGAGCACCCAGGGATTGTCCTGGCCAGGTGGGGTGATTTGAACCCTGCTCTCTGCCCGGTCTTCGTCCTCATTTAGCCCCCACATGTGCATGACTGTGCATGACTGAGGTTTTCCCCCCTCGTCTTGGCTATGGTGTGAGTCTGTGCTGTTAATTAATGGGGTTCTGCCTTCGGAGAAGATGAGCCAGCCCCTCAAGGAGGTGATTATGTAATTTGCTAGCAATTCATGTCCCTCCGGCGTGACGCTGCGCGCTGACGTCACGGGGCTGTAATGGTGGTGTGCCTCGAGATTTTTTCATGAAACAAGTGTGCCTTTGCCCAAAAAAGGTTGGGAAACACTGGCCTAACCCATACACATGTAAAATAACTCCTTTACAGCTGGTAAGTGGCTATGTAAATGAGGTTTAGAGCTTGGTATATCAGGAGAATGCTGTGGCGATAGTGTACAGTGGTATCTCAGGTGAAGAACTTAATTCGTTCTGGAGGTCCGTTCTTAACCTGAAACTGTTCTTAACCTGAAGTACCACTTTAGCTAATGGGTCCAGCCGCTGCTGCTGCTGCGTGATTTCTGTTCTCATCCTGAAGCAAAGTTCTTAACCCAAGGTACTATTTCTGGGTTAGCGGAGTCTGTAACCTGAAGCGTCTGTAACCCGAGGTACCACTGTCAGAAGGTCAGCAGTTTGAATCCCCGCGATGGGGTGAGGTCCTGTTGCTTGGTCCCTGCTCCTGTCAACCTAGCGGTTGGAAAGCACAAAGTACAAGCAGATAAACAGGTACCGCTTCGGCGGGAAGGTAAACAGCGTTTCCGTGCACTTCTCTGGTTTGCCAGAAACGGCTTAGTCATGCTGGCCACACGACCCGGAAGCTGTACGCCAGCTCCCTCAGCCAGTAAAGCAAGATGAGCGCTGCAACCCCAGAGTCGTCCACGACTGGACCCTAATGGTCAGGGGTCCCTTTACCTTTAACTGACTGAAAGCAAAGAGTGCTTGCTAATGGTTCCTCGTCATCAAGGGGGGGGGGAATGACAAGTGGGCCCATTGTTGTTCAATATCTTTATAAATGACTTGGATGAAAGTGTTGAGGGGATGCTAATCAAATTTGCAGATGATACCAAACTGGGAGGGGTAGCCAATCCTGCTGAGGACAGAATCAGGATTCAATATGAGCTTAAAAGATTGGAGAACAGGGCCAAAACTAACAAAATGAAGTTCACTTTAAATTTAGTCCCCCAAAATACATGGGGGCATCTTATACACAGAAAAATATGGTAACTGACGTGATAACTGCCTATTTGATCTTTCTGACCTATTACTAAGACTCCAGTATTTTTGTTTTGGGGTCCTGCTAATAAACATTAGATGTTTGATGTTTGCTAATTTGAAGTGTCTTCCCATTTCTCTTTGTTGCTTAGGATTTTATCCTGATTTCTTTCTTTTTAGTGACATTTGGAATGGTGAGCACAGATATGTATTACCTGAACAAAGTTATGGCAGATCTCTTTCTAGAAACCCCTCTGTCGGATAACGATCGTACAGACTTCAAGTCTATGAGCAGCATTGCTGACTTTTGGCAGGTAAAGGTTGTTGTTTTTTAAATAAGAAAAACATAACTTGTGAATAATAATAGTAAACCTGATTTTTGGCACAAAACTATGTTAGTATAGACACATGGTTTCTGTAATCTGCTACTGTCCTATCACCACTAGACTGTTTCACACTATAAAGTTAAGGGGAGGTTTGGGTACCCTCAGAAACATGCCTAAATTGCTGGGAAAGAGTTTGGGGAAAATACATCAAGAGATATGAAGCGGTAAAGTTGGGGACTTGACTTTTTAATTTTTTTGGCATTAAGTCCTGCCAGGTAGCAGAACTTAAATGAGTTACTTACTCTAAGTGTTCCAAGCACTTAGTGTACATGAATGTTTATTATCTTAGTAATCCTTACAACAGCCCTGTACAGTGGTACCTCTGGTTACAAACTTAATTCGTTCCAGAGGTGCGTTCTTAAACTGAAACCGTTCTTATCCTGAGGCATGCATTCGCTAATGGGGCCTCCTGCTGCACATGCGTGCTAAAGGCGCACAATTTCCGTTCACATGCTGGGGCAAAGTTCGCAACCAGGAGCAGCTACTTCCGGGTTAGCAGAGCTCGTAATCTGAAGCCTTCGTAACCAGAGGTACCACTGTAATATAAAACCTTGTGATATGTTGTATGCAAATGGGATGACTTCTTGGCAAGAGGTGTTCAAACCTTACACCTGCTTTTTGGATAGCTGCCACATGCTCATTTATTATTATTATTATTAATTAAATTTATATACTGCCCTGTACCTTCAAGGCAGTTTACAACATAAAATTACAATAAAAAATACATAATAATAATAATAATAATAATAATAATAATAAAAAGACAACCCAATAATCCCCCCTTCCACAACACATTTAAAGGGCATTAGATGTCAATTAGCCAAAGGCCTGGTTAAAGAGGAACACTTTTTCCTGGCATGTAAAGGTGTATAATGAAGGCGCCAGCCAAACCTCCTTGGGGAGAGTATTCCACAAATGGGGAGCCACTGTGGAAAAAGCCCATTATCATGTTGTCACCCTCCAGACCTCTTGTGGAGGAGGCACACAAAGAAGGGCCTAAGACGAAATGATTTCAGGGTCTGGGTAGGTTCATATGGAGAGAGGTGGTCCTTGAGTTATTGCGGACCTGAGCCATTTAAGGTTTTATAGGTCTAAACCAGCACTTTAAATTAGGCCCGGAAACTAATTGGTAATAAGTTCAGTCAGACCAGGATTGCTGTAATATGCTCAAACTGTTTTGCCCCGGTAAGCAGCCTGGCCGCTGAAGTTTTTGAATCGTCTTCAGAGGCAGCTCTACATATAACATGCTGCTCCATCCTTATGAACTTACCTAACCTAGAGGTTACCAGAGCATAGACAACAGTAGTTAAGCTGTCCCTGTCGGGATAAGGGCACAGCTGAGGCACCAGCCGAAGCTGATGTCACGTGATAAAGTGCTTTACAACAGCCTTCACCTGAGGTCTGTAATGCTTATGTCTGGTGCTGAGATGAATCTGGTGTCATTAATTTCTGTGAAGAAAGATGCAGTTTAAGTAATCAGTAATATGTTATTGTTTCACAGTTTGTTATAGTTTAGAGTTTACTGTGGATAACAAAAAGATGCTGAACACAACCCAACAGCTGCTGTGCAAATGCAGGGCCTCTGGTTTTACATAAATCTATGCATGAACAGAACATTATTGATGTGTTCTGTGTGCATGAGGCACATCCCTTAACAGAAGAAAGACATCAAGAGGTGTCTGCATTTATAGTATTTTAGACCATCACCAGAGTTTTTAGTGGAATTCAGTGTGCCATTATAAAGAATTAATATTGAAAGACCTATGGCCTTGTTTGCGCATTACGTAGAATCATGAGTTGTTTCACATCCAACAAACCATGATCTGTAAGCAAGATTTGTTATTTGCTTATGTAAAGGGCTGTCCAAGGCATTTTGCAAAGGACAAAGACTCCCCTCCCCAAGCCCTTTACATGTACAGAAGCTGTGTGGAACACTCAGCTCTTGATTTCCAACAGGGAAGAATAACCAGAAGACTCAGGAGAAATGGTTGGGGCAGCAGGTGCTGCCACCTGCAATATTTGCTTTCTGTGATGATTGCCTCATTTTGCCTATCAGTTTGGTTGAACTAAACAAACCTTGACACCTGGTTTCATACATAATAGTAAGCTAAGGATCTTGGTTTATTTCTTCAATGTTCTAGCAAGGAGGAGCAAAGCAGCTCAGATTGGCACATTCACAGTAAACTATTAACTGTGATTGACCAGGATAGGTGAAGTGACCCTAGACCTCTTAATCTGCCAAGTGAAATCAATTGGTTGTTTTTTATAGTAGTCCAAATAAGATGTAAAAAACAAAGAAAATAGATAAACAAACATTTTATAAGGCCATTGTGCCTCCTAGATTCCCAGGTGTAACAGTGGGTTTTCAAATAATATTTGATTCCAAGTAAACGAGTTTCAGATGCTGAATTTCTTCTGGTAAGAGTTTATTTTCTGCTTATTTCATGCAATGTAGTTTATAGAAGGACCACTTCTGGATGGCCTTGATTGGGGAACTTCGTACAACAACGATTCCACACCCGATGAAACAAACACCACACTTATCTACTATGAGAATTTACTGTTAGGAGTACCTCGAATTCGACAACTAAAAGTCCGTAACAACACATGTTCTATCTATCCCTCTTTCCGGGCATTTATGAAAGAATGTTATGGTAAATATCAGTATTTACATGAGGATAGACAATCATTTGGCTTTAAGAATGCCTCTGAGTAAGTATCGTGACATTTTATTTTCCTTGCTCCTTCTGACTGTATCTGAACATACTGTACACATACTTTAGCAAAATAAGTTTAATAGTGGGATTTGGCTTCCTTAGGGAGCACTGAGAAATTCTGTTATTAATGCATTTGTACTGTAAATAAATGAAACAATATGTGTCAAGGGGCTGAAGTAGTGGCACCCTGCTGATTTGCACCTATATCAGCTTGTCCCGTATAAGGGTGAATCAAATGCAGCCTTAGTTTAGACAATATTTGCACGAGCCTTGTGCCTGTGCTACCCCTTCCCTCCTTCAGTGCTTCTAGATTGGAATTTATTGTGGAATTGGTGTTGTTCATTGTTTTTGCATGGTTCACGCAACATCATAATAAAAATGCCAGTCCATTTCCCCTTACTGTGGAAACTCTGAAGTAAAAAGGAGCCAGTATGCACCTACAGTCACTGCTGGTATGGAACACATTAGCACATATTTTTGGCACGTAGTTTGTCATATGCGGTCTCCTACTTCTGTTTGCTTCTCATTCAAGTACAATCTAGCCTTTTTGCTTCTGGTGGCCACAATGATGTGACTGTTTCCACCAATTGCTGCATGCAGAAGGCATGTTCACAGTTCATATATCAGAGACCTCTATATTAAAAGTAAAATTTGGCTCATCAGGAGTTCTGCTAAATCTTTTAGCCAGTTGTTCGCCACATGCGTAAGAAGAAGTAAGAGTGGGAGGATCATGGGGCCCCATGGCCGCTAATGGGTGTGTGTGGCTCTTATGGAAACCCTGCCAACCAGCGCAAAGAATGGCCATGGCTATTACAAATTGATGATACCAAACTGGGCCCAACTTGCTTTTAAAAAGGGACAATGTTGTGTTAAACTTTCTACAAGTTGTCCAGGAACAAACATTAACCTCAGTGACCTAGAATTTCATGGTTCCTGCCTAGATCCCTTAAATATAATTGTTTCAGTGGTACCATATTAGTATTAAAGCTTCCGGGCTAAGATGATAATAAAGGAAAAAGAAAGCAAGAGAATGCATGACACCTGAATACAGCCACATCAGATTGATTTTTTGGTGTGTGTGCTAGTTTCATTCCCCCCATCTATAACCCACCATTTTGCCCATGGTGAAACATACCAGTTATGCTTCTTTGTATGTTCTTCCTGCAGTTTGGTTTTGTTTTTTTAAGAGGAAGGTATGCGTGTGCACAGATAAAGAAATACGGTAACTGCATGCATGTCTAGAATGGAAATGAGCTGTAGACGGTGAGGGAGGAGTGACTGAGAGGAAGGAGAAAACAAAATTACAGATACATCCCATCAACTTTCACCTATTAGTGTGGATAGCAACCAACAGAATAATTGCATATTAAGATTGAAAAAAGGGGAGTGTGTGGAAACTAATCTGCCAGTTGCACTCACAAGAAAATTAGGTCTGTGTGAGTCCCTTGCTTCTCAGTGTACCAGGATTGAAGACTCCCTGGGTTTATTAATCATGATTTTCAGTTACATCAAAGTCAGGAAAGTATGGTTACCAGGGCTGGAACAAACTTAAGATTTGAAACAAACTTTGAACCATGGTTTCACAGACTGGTTTATTCTAGTACTGGTAAACATAGTTTAGTTTTACCCAGAGTAGATGCATTGAAATTAATGGACCTAACTTAGTAATGTTCATTAATTTCAGTGGGTCTACTTTGAGTAAAACTTAGTTGAATGCCACCCCAGTTTCTGAAGATTTATTTTAAATTACCCCAGATAATAGACATTTGTTTTATGTTTTTAAAATGTTTGCTAAATAACCTTTGTTAATATTATTTGTAAAATTGTTTTGGTATTGTCTTAGGTTGCCACCCATTTCAGGCATATAAATTTATAGGTGAGGTATTCATTTATTTAACAACACGGTATAGCCCCTGTGCATTGTGGGATGACTATAGGTTTCAACACAAAATAATTGCTCTGTATCCCCTGCCACACATTCATAGGCATATGTGTAGTTAGCCCAACAGGCTGTTATGGGAAATGGCATGCCTCTACACATCTTCCATTTCCCAACCCAGCTCTTCCGCTCTTCTTGACCATACCATCTTGGTGCACTGCCTGTATGTACAACTCGAGTTATGCCTTTACCTTTGAAGCACATTCAAAGCACATTGTTTCCCTCAATGGATTCTGGGCTCTGCAGCTTACCCCTCACAGAGTTACAATTTCCAGCAACTCTTAACAAACTACAGTGTCCAGAATTCTTTGAGGGAAAGAATGTGCTTTGTACTGTATACAAAGCCGACAAAAAAAGAATTAAGGCTGTATACCAAAGTAGATAAGATGTCATCCATGGAATTTTGCATTCATGTGATTGAATATTTAAAAGTAAATAGCAGGATGGGATAGGGGATGGGACCATCTGGATTGGGAGCCTGGTGAGAAGGGGAACTTTAACCCTTCACCCCCCTTGCCCTGATCTAGATGATCTAGATGGTGGGAGAAAACTGGTACGAATGAGATTTTTGTTTCCACTGTGAATAGCAGGTGTGCAGTGTTCAATTAACTATTTCTGTTAAAAAGGCAGTGGAAAGCTAAGAGTGATTGAATAAATCCTTGGGGAGTAAATGGGGGGGGGGAATGCTTTCTGTAAACTTAAGTGCCTCAATTCCTTTCTTTCCTACAGGTGGCATTATTCCACTTCTAAATCACTCTCCCCATGGCATTGGGGCCTTATTGGGCTATACAGTAGTGGAGGATTTATGTTCACCTTGCCCAAGTCAAAGGCAGAAAGTGCAGCAAAACTTGCTTTCCTCAAGAAGCATAACTGGATCACCAGAGGAACAAGGGTTATCTTCATTGACTTTTCAATGTATAATGCCAATGTAAACCTCTTCTGTGTGGTCAGGTGAGCTCTTCTGTTTGCTGTTCTTAAAATTCAGTTTTCAAGATAAAGTAATTGCATTACCAGTCCTGTTGATAAAGTAATAATGGCATGTTCTACTCTGTTGCTGAATGGACAAATCTCACCCTGTGCAGGCTACTTAAAATTGTGATACATCTACTAAGCAAATCAAATCCTTCTTCTTTCCACTCCTTCCAGTTGCTGCTGGTTTAGCATACAAACTCTTCTAGCCCTTGACTTTTGCTTTGCCTTTTCAGGCATTAAATCTAGGGTGCCACCACTGCATGGACTGTATCTCATTTCATTTCCTAAAAGTTCCACTGATGCCAGAGTTTGAAATCTTGACTGAATGCTATAGAGCAGCAGCTTTTTTTTTTAATCCACAAAACCGAAACATGTTCAAAACTTGTCAAGAAACAAAACCCTCATTATATCTAGAGCAGAAGTGGCTAGCTTTTCTTGGTTCAATAGCTACTTACATCCTTAGACATCTCTCTAGGTGCATGCTAGTGGTGATTGTGACCCAAAGTGGGTATGTACATCCTATACTCACACAAGCACAGAATGCATTTGTGCACGCTCACATAGGTATAGAGCCCTCGCTGATCTACTGAGGAATGGAGTTATTGCACCTTCCCTGCTCATCAAATGAAGTGGAAGGGTGTGATATGCATCTTCAAAAGGGCACTGGACTGGGCCGAGGGGTTTAAATCTCTTGGCCCACTGCAGTTCATGCCTGTTTATATTTTTTATTCCTTTGCCACCACTACCAAAATCTGTGGGGTCTTGGGGGCCAGAAAAACTTGCTTAGGGGACTACATCAGCCCCCCAAGCCAGAGGTTAGCTTTAACTGATCGAGAGGTAATAATAGTTCAGGAGCCTTTGAAATTACCCCAGGTGAGCTTTGCAGTTTGGAATCAGTCTTATGTGTTACCGGATAGCATCCTCCTTTACTTTCATTTCACAGGCTCATTGTGGAATTTCCTGCAACAGGTGGTGCAATCCCCTCCTGGCAGTTCCACTCTGTAAAGCTTCTCAGATACGTCAGCTATTACGATTATTTCCTGGCCTCTTGTGAAGTCATTTTTTGTCTTTTCATCTTCACTTTCACCATCCAAGAAGTTTTAAAATTAAAGAAACAGAAAAAGGACTATTTTAGAGATGCCTGGAACTGGCTGGATGTGTTACTGCTCCTGGTAAGTCTCAGAAATTACAGAAAAGGAATTATGACAGAAACCATATTGTGGTGTGGGGACAGGATGCTTTCCGTTATGCCACTAGAAAGAGCTGGGAATACTGGGAAGAGGGGTAGATGTTCCTTGGGCAAGGAACATTCACAGCTTCAAATTTAGTATGTTTCTGCCCCTTGAGAAACATGGCAGTTAACTGTGTTTTATACATGGCAATTCTTTTCTGAAAACCAGGCCAAAGCAGTCAAAATGCAAGGCTCACGATCAATGTGTGCATTCAGTGTTGTCTGGCCGTCCACAACTTAGCTTGTATATGATTTACAGTAAGCATACCTGTAATCAGTATAATTTTGATTCCCTGCTTTCCTTAAAGTAAAGTGTTTGAAAAAGTTCTTAGTGTTTTATTTTTCCACAATTACATAAGAACCTGGCTACATTGAATTGATTATATTCAGAGTGGTCCTGTATTTATGTTGAATGCAGAGGCATGGATTGCAGTCCCTGCTCAGTCTTGGTTTCCTTGGGTGCCACTAGATCAGTCAGATATAATGTTAAACTTTGGCTTTTCATTAGAAGAATGAGCCAAGAGCCTCAGGGCTCATGTGTTCCCCTTTCCTTCAGATTTTGGTTCCATTATTCACTAGCTAAGGTTTAGTATTATGTCAAAAACTGAAATTTACCTATGATTCAATGCAGTGCTTTTTTTCTGGGGATACGCAGGGGGTACACATACCCCAAAACGTTTTGTGAATCTAAGTTTCGCCTCGTCGAGGGGCAGTATTTCAGTATGAGTAGGAAAATTAAGAGTACCCCTAAACAATTTTTTATAGAAAAAAAGCACTGGTTTACTGAAAGAAACTAACTTCAAACTTTTGTTTATTAAGGTGGCTCCTTTCAAATACCATAGCTAAGTTCAACCATAGTTCAGGCATAATGCTAAACTGCAGCTAATTAAAAATTGAAGGGAAAGCTTTCAATTGTCTCTTTGCAGTCTGCTCTCACCCATTTATGATGAAAAAGCAGGAATTATAGGACAGATAACACCTTCCTTTTGGGAGGAAAATTGATACCTAAATTAGGAACAAGCTTGTCTGATACCTCTTTTGGGCCTTTAGCAGGGATAGGATTATTTCTTGTTTTCTGCTGTGTACTACTCCCTAGTAATTGGGGTACAGGGAAAAGAGAGTTCCCTGATCCCCACCCATCCAAATATTTTTTATTTATTAAATTTCTATACCACCCTTCATCTGAAGATTACAGGGCGGATTACAATATAAAAATGCAAAAATACATAACATAGTAACAAACAAATATAGTACCCCTCCACACAGCTAATTGTATAATTAGCTAAAGGCTAGGCTTTTCCACCGAAAAGGTTTCCACTTTATCATTTTAATGGCCTGTCGGCATTTTGGGGCATTCCAGGTGACAGCAGAGCTTTAAGAAAGAGACAGATGCAGAGATAGAAAGAGAGACAGAGAAGGGATGTGAAAATCTAGTTCAGAAGGTGGAGACTTTTTCAGCAGTATCTGGATAAAGGCAAATCATTATGTCATCATCCTGTCAGCACAGGGAGAGGGGCTGTTTTCAGTCTCTGAGGTTGCTACACAAACACGTAAATACATTTGCTTGCAAACTGTAATAATTAGAACAGCAATTCTTAATCCTCATTTTGTATGTAAATAAATGAAATTCTGGGACTCATGCTGAAATCTGAGGGAAACTCACCCCACACAGAATCCTTTTAGGGGAAACTATGCTAAGCTAGTAGTAAATCTTAAATGAGTTCTTCATGTACCCTAAAACATTCCATTTCAGTTGACAACTATAAAATGATTTAAGATGTGAGTATTCCATGCCTGAAGAAAAATATTAATGTTACCCACATGGTGAAGAAGAGCATGTTATGGTGTTTCATAAAATAAAATGCTCCTCATATAGATACTCAGATACCCAGAGGGCCTTCTTGGTAGTGGCACCCGCCCTGTGGAATGCCCTCCCATCAGATGTCAAAGAAATTAACAACTACCTGATGTTTAGAAGACATCAGATGTCAAAGAAATTAACAACTATCTGATGTTTAGAAGACAGCCCTGTTTAGGGAAGTTTTTAATGATTGATGTTTTAATGTATTTTTACTCCTTTGTTGGAAGCCGCCCAGAGTGGCTGGAGAGGCCCAGCCAGATGGGTGGGGTATAAATGATAAATTATTATTATTATTATTTACTCCCTACATACATTTTAATGCATATTTGGCTTAGAGGCAGATATGGTTGACCTCTCGTAGCCCTTTATCAATCAACTTCATTAAGATATGAAGAATATATCAGAAAAATATAAAGTGTAACCTCACAAACATTTGCTTTTTTCCCTCCAGTTGTCTGTTTTTGCTATTTTCTTCAATGTTTACCGAACTATTGAAGTGTCCAGGTTGATGGAAAGTCTGCTCTCCAATTCAGAAGCTTATCCAGACTTTAATTTCCTTTCATTCTGGCAGACCCGTTACAATAATATGATTTCAGTGAATGTATTTTTTGCATGGATAAAGGTACTGCTGCTCACATTAATAAATAAATTGACAATGTTTTATTTTCATACTTCTCACAGAAAATTTTCAAATTTTCTCTTAGAGATTTTAAAGAGCTATCTGAAAAATGTTTGCATAGGTGTTTATAGATCTTTTCCTCTTTCCTCCACATTCATAATCTCTGCCAAGGCTTATCTCTTAGGGGGCTATAGTACATTATTTGTCAGGGAGACCCTCAAAAATGCCACTTTAGTAACATCCACTGTTATGTTCTTTATCACCCTTCTAAAATTGCAGCCTACTTAAAGTATAGGAGTGGGGAAAGCTGTTGTGTAGTATTATGAGCTGCTAATGTGACCATGAAATGACTTGCATTGCTTTTAAAAAAGGGGTTAACTTTTCACTAATCTTCCATTAATCAAGGCTGGTCATACAGTCAGTCACACTTGCCCTAGCAGTTACTCCAAATTCCAAATATGTCCGTTGGCCCAAAAAGATTAGAACACCCTGTTCTTGTGTAATGTTCAGAAGGGAATTTCCATGGAGAGAATGTCATGTTCCAGTTAAATAAAGAGCTTGTGCATTTCCCACATTTATTTTCCCTTTTGAACTTAAACTGGAAGTGCCGTAAGAGAAAGTCCCCATCACTTGTTCTTGTTTTACAGTTTTAGTTAGGTTACCAGAGTAGCATGGAATCTCACACTAGGGACCAATGTAATGTTTGAAATTGGGCTTAAAGGTCCATGGTTCAGTACGTCCAATACTGATTAATTTATATAAAGAGTTATATAGAATCTCCAGCAGAAATCCTTCCTCTGGAAAAGAGAACTGTGTGAGCACTGGAAATGATCTATAAGCGCTAGAAGAATTAGATATAATTTTTTATAAAAATTCAAAATAATATGTCTTTTATAAAGAACTTCATTTCTCTAGTTATTTCATTTCAGGCTCACCTGAATATTCATCCGGTTTAGTATTGATTTCCTGCCAAATTTAAGCAGGTAACTTTTAGCCCCTTCTGTTGGCTTGGTCTTTGTCCCACCACAATGTATCCTGTTCTGTTTTCTTCCAGATATTTAAATACATAAGCTTTAACAAGACCATGACCCAGCTGTCTTCCACTCTATCCCGTTGCGCTAAAGATATCATCGGATTTGCCATCATGTTCTTTATCATCTTCTTTGCATACGCACAGTTGGGTTACCTGGTCTTCGGGTCTCAAGTGGACGAATTTTCCACTTTTCAGAATTGCATGTATGGAGTCTTCCAGATTGTCTTCATATAGTTCTGTGGTTAGTTAGAGCAGCATTTTCTTAAGTGAAATGCTAAGAGTGCCTGAGATGTTTGATAATGGCATGTTGTGGGATACCTGAGCTGCCTGGTAAAAGTATATAGCTGGAATGGGCAATGATGGCATAGCAGATCTTGACTGGGTGGGCAAAGTGTCCCATTTACTCACAGCCATTTTAAAGGAGCTCACACATGAAACAACAATATATCACCAAAACCTCCCTCTTCAGTTCTCATCCAGGCACAGGGAGACATGGTGACTTTGAATAAAGATTTCTGCATGCAGGGTACAAAGTGGATTGTTACCTAAGCCAGCCTTTCTCAACCTGGTGCCCTCCAGATGTTTTGGACTAGATGCTTTGACCCCAGCCAGCATGGCCAATGGTCAGGGATGATGGGAGCTCTCGTCCAAATCATCTGGAGGGCATCAGTTTGAGCAAGGCTGCTCTAAACTTTTATGTCTAAATTGTTTTGCTACTATACACTCTTTGGGAGCTATGCTGAGGTGCAAGGTAAAAATCTTAATAATAATAAAGTCAGCTAGTCACTATAGAAATAGGTTTGAAAGCTCAGAACATATAATCTATGGAAGCCAGTGGTTGATATTTTAAAACTGAGTATAAGCTGTATCATAAGATTTAACTCAATATAAATTGTAGAAGAATATTGTATACTGACCGTTTCTATGTTTTTTCTCCCTCTCAAGTTTTACCCAATTTCGCATCGTGCTTGGAGATTTTAACTTTGCCGAAATAGAGCATGCAAATCGAATTCTTGGGCCAATTTACTTCATCACATTTGTGTTCTTTGTGTTCTTCGTACTGCTGGTAAGTAGTATTTTAGATAATTCCAATTAAATACAAATAATTAAGTAAGTAAGTAAGTAAATAAATAAATAAACAAAGTAATTAAATCTCTGTATTTGGGCTGGTGTCAGAGTAATAAAACGTAGTACACATGTTCATAGTTTTATGGGACAGTGTTTAAATGATCATATATTGGCTTAATATGCTGAGATATCAATGTGCCTTTTGTTAGCAGAGTCAAGTATTGTTCTTTTCAATTTGCAGTGCAAACAAATAAACCAGGAAAGCTTCAATTAACCATATTCCAAGCCACAATTTGAAGTTGTTTTAATACTGTGGTTTGTTCTCAAGCTGGTAACCATAGTTTCATGGCTTAGATAAAACTGGCAATTATGGTTAATTAGAGACTTTCCAGTTTAATCATGGCTTGTGCAAAGGGAAGAGTGAAAGCATGGTGTGCAAGCAGGAGTCATGCTTATATCTTTGCTTATTAAGCTGAAAGACTATTGTGTATATATAGTTCACCAAAGTTGTCATATTTTAATGCAAACCATGAGCACCAGAAAACCGACAACGAAAACAACAACAGTATAATCCTATGCATGTCTTATTTGGAAGTAAGTCCCACTGAGTTCAGTGAGACCCACTTCCAGGTAATTGTGTACAGCAGGGTTGGGAATTGTGTGGCCCTCCAGGTGGTGTTCAGTTCCCTTTGGGCCCTAGAACTATGTAATAACAACAACAACAACAGTTGTTGTTGTTGTTGTTGTTGTTGTTGTTGTTGTTGTTGTTGTTATGCTTCCCATCTGACCGGGTTGCCCCAGCCACTCTGGGCAGCTTCCAACAAATTAAAACATTAGACACAGTAAAACATCAGACATTGAAAGTTTCCCTATACAGGGCTGCCTTCATATGCCTTCTAAAAGTCAGATAGTTTACCGTATATCCTATAGAATTGGCCTGAGACCACTCACTTACAGAAGTGCAATATGGTCTACCTTCTGCTGGAATTTCTTTTGAGAGATACATTTGTAAAGCACTGAGGCATGACTTTAAATTATTCTGCTGTTTAAGCATTCAGTGCTGACACTTACTTCAGCAGTTCTTGCAGTGCTAAGCTTAGTAATGGTTTGTTAATGAGTCAGGGAAAAAGGAGATGTGGCAAGGAAGCAGGGATGCAACAAGAGGGAGATGGAGAGATGGTAGACTGCAAATGTTGTGGAGCAAGGAGCTAATTTTAGAAAGGCTTACCATTCTTATTTGTCTGTTCCCTCAGGTTTAGAGGGTAAAGTTAGAGAACTTGAGGTGGGGCATGAGTTTTCTTTTTTTATACTTTGCTTTGATTATGTTGCCCTGCCAATTTACTGTGATGAACCTTCAATACTGAATAACAGAGCCAAGTTGCTTATGTAAAAGTAGGCATGGTTATAAAATGTAGGTGCACATTTTCGTATTTGCCACTGGGATGTTGGAAGATGAGAAAACTAAATCATTCAGTCATCCCAACCTTATTTTTCCCAAATAGAGGTTTGTAAATATGGGATGCTTTTGTTAAGGCTGCAGTCTTATGAAATAAGCCCAGCTGAATTTCCATTGTAAGCCTTTGCTTACATCATAGAATCATAGAATAGAATCATAGAATCATAAGAGTTGGAATAGACCACAAGGGCCATCGAGTCCAACCCCCTGCCAAGCAGGAAACACCATCAGAGCACTCCTGACATATGGTTGTCAAGCCTCTGCTTAAAGACCTCCAAAGAAGGAGACTCCACCACACTCCTTGGCAGCAAATTCCACTGTCGAACAGCTCTTACTGTCAGGAAGTTCTTCCTAATGTTTAGGTGGAACATCAGTGCTGCATCATTTCCCCATTATCTTTTGAAATCTGACCTACCCACTTTCCTATTCCTGTGCATACCTGGGGGTCTTTTTGCACACTGATAGCACACAACTTTACTTGTAAGCCAATTCACAGCCTATGTTGAGGGGCAGGTTCAAGCACACAGTCTGTCATCATGATGAGCTGCAGTGTGACATATTTAATTGGAGGTGGTTAAGCACAGTAGAATAGGGGGCGCAGGTGGTGCTGTGGTCTAAACCACAGAGCCTAGGGCTTGCCGATCAGAAGGTCGGCGGTTCGAATCCCCACGACAGGGTGAGCTCCCATTGTTCGGTCCCAGCTCCTGCCAACCTAGCAGTTCGAAAGCATGTCAAAGTGCAAGTAGATAAATAGGTACCGCTCTGGCAGGATGGTAAACGGTGTTTCTGTGCGCTGCTCTGGTTCCCCAGAAGTGGCTTAGATATGCTGGCCACATGACCCGGAAGCTGTCTGCAGACAAACACCGGCTCCCTTGGCCTGTAAAGCGAGATGAGCACCGCAACCCCAGAGTCGTTTGCGACTGGACCTAACAGTCAGGGGTACCTTTACCTTTAAGCACAGTAGAATACAGAATGGAATCTTCTCACCAGTAAGACACCGCTGCCCCTCATTTCAAGTGGTATGGACAATGTATCTTGTAGTAGTCATCCAAACATAATGAGGAAAATTGCAATCAAGTTTGATTTGTACCTCATTATTAAGGTACTAAACATGACACAAAATTTGGAAGTAAAATCCTCATCAAGGACGCTGACCAGCAATTGATGTGATGCCCTAGGACAAACTGAGAAAAAAATAGTAGGTGTCGTCAACATCTTAATATTGGGACATTGGAAGGAGTTGTAAAATTAATAAAAACTGCTATTAGTCAGTATTGGTTGGTGAGTTGTCTTCTATTATGAATGCACTAGTTTTTCTTATTCACTACATCTTGCAGATATTGTTGACTCTAATTGCTGCTCTATTGTATTGACTAATCTGGCATCATTGCTTTTGACCATAATGGATCAGATTAAATAACCATTGAGACCCCTGTCTGAAAGTTCAGCCTCTGATTTTGTGACCCAAAATTCTTTCTCTTTTGCACAGAACATGTTCTTGGCAATCATTAATGACACATACTCTGAAGTGAAAGCTGATTTTTCAGTCATCCCAAGCAGAGAATTTGAGATCAGTGATCTTATTAGACAGGTAAGCACCTATAGGTGTTTGTTCATATTACCATTGTCAGCAACAAAATAATGGTTGCTTGTTAATCATATATTGGCTTAGTAAGATGAGATGTGAAGAAGCTTCATTTTGTACCTGCTGCTCCTTTTGTTAGAGCAAGTAAACAAGACAGGAAATCTTTCCATCTCATCCTGACTGGGAAATTAATGGTTAATGGTTTCAGGACGAACAAGTATATTAAGACTCGTATAATGGTTTGGAGTGGCTTAATATCCTGGCTTGTTCCAAACCTATCATGAGGACAAAATGGGAAATTATAGTTAATGGAAAATTTCCTGGCTTATTTTCTGTTCACACAAAGGGAAGAGCTAAGTGGTTCTGTGCGTGATCAAAAGCTTGTTCATATGTCAGCTTAATCACGTGACTATTTTAATCATAGATAATAGAATCTATAATGGGTAGTTACTGACTACTTGCTTTATTCATAAAGTCCTTTAAAGGATCAACCTGGTACTACTTTCCTATAGTTCCAATTAATTGAGATGCAATTCACTTGGCTTCAATGGGTCTGCGGTTCCATAGACAATGAATGGGGTTTTGTCACCTCATTGTTTGGGTTGCATCTCCTAATCAAGGAGTCATTTCTGGTTGGCTGCATTTGTGAGGCTAGGAAAAATAAGAAAGTCACCACATGATTCCAACCTGATCTTCGTATTTAGGGGCTCAACCATCCCTACATTGGGATTATGTGGTACACCTTTTGTGACTTGTGAAAACTCCTTGCATCACTTTATATTACCCATGTCTTCTTTTTGAGCATATGGTATTTTTAAGCAGGTGCAGAGTCTGGTGATAGGGAGAAACATGTGTTTGGTGTGGCTGATGAATATGTAAATCTAGTTTAATTGAGAATCTCATGTGAGATTGGCTTATTTAAGAGCAGGGGTTTTTATCAGCCCCCCAAGTCGCTGTTATTTATTATTCATTTGCCAGGTGTATAGTTGCAGTCACTGCATATTCAGAAACTACAAACACTTTCTGCCTCATGCTTGTGTAGACACCTTGTTCAAAGCCTGATTAATCCCAAATTCACCACTGTAACATACTACCTAATTTAGCTTCCGTTGACTTTTTTTCTTATCCTTATTCTTGGGATTTTGAAGAAAGGCTGCTTTATTTTAAGCAACCGAGCATCTAGAGGATGAAAACAGAGTGCAGAAATACACATCCTGTGATAGGATGTTCAAGTGACAGGTGTCATAATTTCTAACATCTTGAAATAAAAGCATTCCCTCATTTTTAAAAGCCAAGGATTGCTTATTGCTCAGATATGATCAAGGGGAAAATGTTAAGGAGGCTCATTTATAAAAGATACCATGGATATTTCCAGTACATAGAACTCCCACCCAAGTTTATTAAAGCTGTTTTTCACAGCCCAGCCTCTATTTAGCACTGAATGTATTGAGACAATGGTTTTTAATAAATACATACAACAACTAAAATCTGTGAGGACAGTTACAAGAATGGTTGCCAACTTTTTATTCCACCCCCCATACAATTTTATTAAAGTTTTTCCATAATACAATAAAAGAAAAGAAAGTAATTAAATAAAAACAATAACAATAAAAGAAAGATAAAAGAAAATGCAGAGTCCTCTCTCAAAGGTAGCTCTTAACCCTCACATAGGAAGAGGTAGACTTTCCCAGCTCTCACCAGGGAGCTTTCGTTTTTTCTCCTATTTTCTCACCCTAGCAGATCTTCCCTTCCCTGCCTCTCATTCAGGGTCCTTCACAGCACCATCCATCACCAAGAATGGTTTCCAAGGTTTTCCCCCTGATGTTTCAGTTGTGTGTGTTTTTACCCAGTATGCCGCTTAAAATTAATCTCCAGAATCACTTATAAAGAGTACCACTTTTTTTTCGCTTCTGTTTTCTTCCTCACAAGAAATTTGTGTGTTCTAAGTTGTGCTGGAGACAGATCTGAGTAAGTGTTACCTTTCATAGTTTAAAAATAGACGAGAAGAGGCAGCTTGCTTGTTTGGCACAGTAGCCAAAGATGGTGCATACTGAAATAGTTTTGCATTCACCAGAGTTGCATCCAATTTAAGGGTACAATTCTCTGTCCCTGGAATGGCATCCCAGTGGCTATAGAATTTTATAGCTTTGACTGTATCTGGGCAGAGCAGGACTTCAACTATTCCTCCTCCAACAGTAGGAAGGTATATATCTGTGGATCCAGGAAATCTTTGCATCCTCTGAACCCAAATCCTTTCTGTTCCCCTGCTATGTGCCCAGGATGGGTTTGGGGAAATATGTCAGCCCTCCAACCAGTCCCATCGTTTCTACCCTCACCAGCACAAAACGGTTGTTACTCAGGATTTGATGGGTCTATGTTGCCCCTTCTCATTGGTTTCCTCTGCCCATCTGCCTAATACATCAGCATTCCCTCTTAAGACTCATACATACTGCAAACTTTGAGGCTCCAGCATCATTTTCAGCTTTCACTCTTTCCCCACTCAGTTTTGCTTAACATCCATTTGAAAAAGTTTCTGACAACTCAGAAGCTTATTCACTATTTTGTGACATTTCAGTGAGATATAATGAATATATTGCCAAACTATGGTTTTGGGATATCCACCTAACAGTGCTTTCTTTATATTATACTTAGAGTTACAATAAAGCTCTAGTCAAACTCAAACTGAAGAGGCAGACATCACAGACAGAAGACTTGTATGGAGTAAGCAGGTAGAAATCACATGCGCACCTCAGTTTTCAAAACCTTGAAACCCAAAAAGTATTTGCTATGTCAGCTGTGTTTTTCAAGCTTGCAATCAAATCTAATACACTATCAAATCTAATGTGCTAATTTTCATGACGTAATTAGGCCAAAACGTCACAACTCCCTTGGTTTTGGCGGTAGGCATTGGCCGGGGGTATTGTCATGCAAATGAGATCGGGGGGGAGGAGCGCCATCACCTCCCCCAAGGCTTGAAGGGTAGTTCGTTAAAGGACTCCGGGGGGCGTCGCCTCGTCCGAAACCTACGGAGGCTAGGGCCTAAAGCGCGCCCCCGAGCGGTAACCCCTCGGGGAGCGCCTAGGGATATGCATCTCGGGTGGCTCCCCCTGTTGGTGTTTAACCCTCTCCGGTTAGACCGGATAGTCTGTTAGGGGCCAATGCCTAAGCCAATACCTCTCTTACCTGTAATCAATAAAGTTGTGGCCATTTTCGCCCATTAACCTAAAATTATTGTGTCCAGTGTCTTTATTTATTCCACCTGTGGAGGGGGAGGGAATAGCCACGCAATTCCGTTGCTGTTGCAGCATATGGTAGAATCCATGTTCTGTTGCAGTCAAATGGCAAAACTGATTACAGTGCTGCTAGACTGCATGTTAAAGTTTTGAAATAAGGGGGTAGGGACTACTCCGTCCTGTCACATGTAAATTTAATGTCAATCAATCTAGACGTTTCCTGAAATGTATAGCCATTGCCATCCTATGTCTGTTCTTATCTCTTGGTTGAATATGTGTCATTGAAAGTAGTGTTTTCTTTCTACCACATCTTACCACTTTCTTGGCTGCTGTATGCGAGGGGCAGGGAAATGCTGAACGGCAATAATAATCATGTCATGCATCTTCTTTAACTAGATATAATTGTGATGTGGGAGGAGATGTGGTTGAGCAGTGGGGATAACTTTTTAGGACCCTAAAGTTATGGAGCTTTGTTCAGTCATCCTTTAACATTAATTGACTGATTAACTGCATTCAGGCTTTTTGGGAAGAAGTGGGGACTTAATTCTTTTCACACAAAATAAGATCTACATTTTACACCAGGTTCCATTTTGTAGTTTGCTGACATCAGTTTCACTCAAAGCTGTTTCATAGCAGCGAGGAACCTCTGGCCCACAAAGGCTGTTTCTGAGCTGGTGTTGCCCACCTCTTACTCCCCTGAAGTCATATGATGTGAGGTGTGGGACTGATAAAGCCATGAATGCCAAGGGACTGTCGGGAGAGCACACTAAGGTGTGTGTTCCTAATTGCTCCTTTCCTGTGGGACTTGCATTTAATGCTGTATGCGAGCACTGCTGCCTTTTACAGGGATCCGATCACCCAACATCATAAGATATTGGATGATTGGCCTATAGTGTGTTGGCCACTGCTTGATCCAGCCTACTGGACCAAAGTGGTTCCCCACCCTTGCTGTATCAGGAAGTGGTCATAATATGGACTGTAATTGTGTACTGTGTTTTATTGCATGACAGAAGCTCCAGGACAGATGCGAATAAGAGCCTCTCCAGAATTGGTAGTTTGGACAAGGTAAGATTCTTCTGTTCTAAAAACTTGATGCTGAATTCTGCACACAAGACTACGGACACATTCCCCCTTTTTGGCTGTGCTCTGGTAGAATCTAGCATTCATCTGACCCTGCACACATTCTTTTCTTCAGGTAGTGTGTGTTTGTATGGATCAGTAATAGGAACGTGTTTTAAGGACAGAAAATGCCTAGTCCTTTCTTCTTTTATTTTATACTACTGCACTTTGTATAATGCGACTTGAGAATGTGAGCAATGCAACACGTGTACATGGGAAAGTGACTTAATGATGGCTGTTTTTCTTTGTGTAAACAATATCATGTCTCTACAGGATGTTTCCAGGAAACGGAAATCTTACGGTAGCTCATCCGCAGGACTTCAGAATGCAGTTTCTTACACTGAATTTCAAAGGTATGCTGCTTAGTGTCATAGTCACTGTTGTCTTCAACCCTTTCAGACTGGGAGTCGTGTTCAGTCCAAACGTATTGGAGACCCACTTATTAAGCCCCCCCCCCCCCCCCCGGCTTGGCCACTGTGAGAACAGGGTGCTGAGCTGGATAGGCCATTGTCCTTAGCCAGCAGAAACTTCTGATGTTCCTACATCAGATAGTAATCCAGTAATGGGGTCATGATACACCAGCTGAAAACTAATGTATGAAGAGAGAGTGTGATCCTCATTTGGATAGTTTCCCACTCCAAGCAACTTTTTTATTTATTCGTTTTAAAAAGCATTCTCCTGGTGGGATCATCTGCACTACCCAGTTGGAACTCCATAATGCAGCTGATCCCTGCCCAAGCAGGGCTGCCTCAACGCTTCTCAAAAGCACTGTTTCACATAGCCGCCGCCACCCCATTTAAAGGAGATGGTGGGCAGCTGCTTCAAACAGTGCTTCTCCTTTCAGAGGTCCATGGGAAGTTGATCTTTCTCAAAGGTAGCTACTTCCAAAAGTAGCTGCTTTCTTTAGCTGCACATACTTTGTTCCCAGGAAGGAACAAGTGCACCCAAACAGCCCTTTTCTGATTTGGGAAGTGGAAATGGGCTGCAGGGACGGCGTCAAAGAGTAGCACTGGGAAGGAGAAGTGGCTTCCATTGGACAGAAACCTATTCCCCCGCAAGGCACACTCCTACTGCCCATCAGCTCATGGGTGGGAGAGCACCTTGCTCCAGCAAAGGAACCACCAAGAGCCCACATTAAGCTCCCAATTGTTATTTTGAAGCCCCACCCTCCACCTAACATCATGTAGGATCTCAGGTATAGGGCAGGTGGGTGTGGCTTCCCCAAAATGGCTAGTTGAGCCAAATGAGGAGGCCTGGCAGGCTAAAGATGATTCTAAAGCCCCACAGATGCGTTTTCTGTTTGTATGTTTTGTTGGTTTTAATTTTTTCCTTGTTCTAGACTTTCCAGATATACAGCAGAAATGGAGAAACAACTGAAAGAAGTGACCTATAAGCTTGACATGCTTATGAATGCTGCTCCTAAAACCACAGTCTCACCATGAAAGCTACAGTAGGGAAAGGTAAGAGGAGAGAGCAGATTTTACAATTGGGACCCAGTCTGACTGAAACCTTAGATGCAACTTCTTATGCCTTTCAGAAACAAGGTTGCCCAACTTGTCTCAGTATTTGTATAGCTGCAGCACTGGGAAAACGTTCTAGACTCTAGAATGTAGATGTTGAAAGGAATCCTTCCCCAGCTTATGCATTACCCCCTCCATTCAAGTGGCATGCCAGTTGCTTGGCTGAACACCACGTAGATTCTGAGAAAAAGCTACTTCATAAAGTTAAAAAAAGGAAAGTTCCAACCAACCAAAGTCTAAAGATGGGGTTGCCCAGGAGCTCTGATTGCTTGCCTCCTACTACTAAATGTAAGACAGAAGAGCTGCTTTTGGCATAACTTCTTTTGTCAACAGTAGCTTAACAGGAAGTGAGAACTGTAGGCATGTTACATAGCCATGAACATGCACTGAACACCTCCACCTACTGTTTTATTATGTGGCTGTTTGGGGGCACTGTACTTAAACCCAGGCAATCAGGTTGCAGCTGTGGGAAAACACATAAGAATAGAAATGTTTTAAAAGATAAGGCAAAAGTGTTTTCCTTCATTCTTTAGAGCAGCATTAGAGGGGCAAAGAATAAATCTCAATTTGGAACTGCTGGGAGCAGGCTGTCAAATGTTATAGGATACTAAATAAAGTTGTTTAGTTTTGTATCTATTGTATTCTATATTCCGAAGCCAGTTTGAAAAAAATGATATATTATATATCCCAATCCAGAAAAGGCAATTGCCACATACTTATCAGAAACCATGGACATGCCTTAGAATCCCCAAGATCCCACTCCCCAAATTCATCCTTTAATTGATTTTATTTCTGGATGTAAGAATTAAACAATTTTTAAAAGTGTAGAATTGCTAATGGGAAAGTCTTTTGGAAGGCAGTATTTAGAATTGCTGTTTCCACCACACCCATGTTTATATGTTGCTCCCCAGAGGGTTGACCATGGTGGCTGGCCTTCAGCACAAAAAAGAGTTAAGCCTGCCATAGATACACATCTGAATGTACCTTCAAATAAAAATGTTACTTTCAACAGGACACATTCATTGCACAGTTCATCACCCCCATGTCAGTGCAGCTCCAGGTTTGTGTCTGCTTCCCACTGAAAGTAACTGAGTACTGTGTGTGTGTGTGTGTGTGTGTGTGTCCCCAATGGTGAAGTGATCTGATTTACACTCCCATCTGGTGTTTTGTGGACCAGGGTAAGACTGGAGAAGTCAGCTTCTAAAGATAATGGTGATATTTATTTTGTTTTGCATTTGCTACATTATTCTGAAAGCTCAAGTAATTTAAAAGTGGATAAATAATGGAAGACAATTTTCATCATTTAGAATATCCTATTTACTTCAGTAACCAAATGTCACCTGAAAAATAATGCCTCCGGATAACATTCAGGCTTGAAAATTTATCCCCAGGGAAAGAAGGCACATAGCCGTAATACAGTCACTGAGAATACCCTTCTCTGTGCCCTTGCTGGTAGTGCCAAGAGGATGCTCTCAGGTACTTGTAACGGTAGCAGGGAGGTGTTAAGTATGAAACAGTGCACTGTGCACTAAAAAAAGTCAGTGTCAATACCACTTATTTCCTGTGACTTGTATGAATTAAGGAAATTTACAAACATTTACTCCTTGCAATTAATTCTGCTCCTATAGATGAGGATGCTCAGAGCTGTGGAGGGGGAAAGTAGAGGGTTTTTTTTAGTGCATTAGCATTAAGGCCATTTTGCATCAGAAACTTACTTCTAGCAACCATCTCCCAAGCTTACATTTGCTCATGGAAAAGGACTTTCTTCTGGCAACAGCCGGGTCCCATTTTTAAAAGTGTGAGCAGCTGAAAACCATGGTTAACAATAAAGGAACCCTGGAAGGCTAGTATACATACATGGCTGAGACCCTCCGTTTAACAGGTACTGCTAAATTCTGCACCCAATCAGCATCTTGTTTTTAGTTCTTGAGGGATTTTTTTTAAATCCTATGTTTCCCAAAGCTCTTGCAACTGCCCCATCATTTTAGATGGATCAGTTGTTTTTACTGCAAGCGATATTTCTTTGTGGATCAACAGAGGGCTCCAAGAAGGATGTGTTGCCTGCCTTGCAGCTCAGAAACACAAAACTGCACTTCATGCTGTTTTCTTGAACAGAAGAGAATGGATCTCTGTCAAGTATTAGAACATGATTAGGTGCATGATAGTAATAACAAGAACTTGTTAAGCAACAGTCTAATATGGAGGTTAATGGGAAAATCCAGACCAAAAAATCAGGTGGGAAGGAAGGACCTGCTGGTAGGAGTACCCCCAGATACTGCCCCATACCCTTGAGACAGGGAAGAAAAAACTGCACAGCTCGCCAAAACAGGGTGGACCTTGGAACGCCCTATACATCCACAAAGAAATTAGGTTAACAAATTCAGATGTGGAAAAAATCAGGTCTGTGGAACACAAGAATAACCTTGCTGAACGTTCTAGAAGTATAATATAATAAACTGCATCCAGTCAGCAGCACTGTAAAAATTAGAAGAGTGTGCACAATGAATATATTTATTTATTTATGGGTCACCTTTCAACCTGAAGGCCTTTAAAGCAGCTTACAATGTAACAAGATAAAAAACACAAGTACATGCTTGTTTCTGGTGAAACTGCAACTACCACCAGTTCTGAGACTCTAAGCCAGGACTACATGTTAAAGCCAAACAGTAGAATTATAGGCAACAGCACACAGGATTAAAACAAACAATTGTTAAAACCTTGTTTAAACGCCCTAGAGTCAATTAGGAGAAACAACACATGTTCCACACACACACACACATACACACACCACAAACACACAATGGAGTATGACAATAAAAGATCCTTTTATTATAAAAATCTATACAATGAAATGCCAGACATAGCAATCATTTATATCTGGTTTATTTATATATATATTTATATATCTATATATCCACATATAGTTTTTACTTATACCAAAGTAAAACTATGTTATATCACAAAATGCCTAACACTACCATTTATTGCTCAATAAGATGGCACAACACACACTCTTAGCATAACTGATGCCATGCTAGCTACGATACTGAACAAACAGCCAAACACTGCATAACACACAAAAGCAGCTGTTAATTCTGAAGTGGAACCAGTCTGATCACTCACTTTATAAAAATATTGGAATCATATAGATTTAAGCATTATAAAGGAGGAATATATTATTTAAAACATTTAAATAGTGCATATTGACATTTTGCATGTGGTATATAAAACATTCATGTACAACACTGTACAGTACACATAAGTTTCAATGTTTGGGTGCACCTCTGTCTGCAGATTGATAGAAAACAAAGTGAAGTGTACATTGCACAATGGAGCTGAATAAAAGCCACAGATGATCTCCAGATTAATTTCCAAACTTGTAATTCACTACTAAAAAAACCCTTCTAGTTGTATAAAAAGGCAAAGCATTTGAATATAATCTCATTTCAGTGCTCTTGGGTTCCAAAATTACATGCCTATAATCACAGTAAAAATAGAGAGACATAGCAAACAGGCAAGTATGGAGTATTGAAAATCTACTTTCTATCTATTCCATGTTAACACACTGACCTGATGAATTACATGCTAGCCACTTATTTCACAGACATTCATTTTTTGGTCTTTCAAAAAGCAATGAGAATCAATATCTGTGTTGACATTAGCTGTTCATAACACATGCAGCAAATAGGCACATACAAAAACATGGCCACAGTACAAAAGATATCAAAAATGTGCCAATTTCAACATTTAGGGCTCAGTCCAGTTGTGCCACAGATGCAGCACCCACATGCAAAGAAATCCCATGACACTGCCCTGTTCCTCCCCGTTCAGTGTGCACACACTGGCACTCAATTCATCAAACCATTTTTAAGGGCCTGAGGTACAGTGTCTGCACACATGCCATAAAGACAGGTGGTAAAACAGAGTCTCTGACCTTTGATAATCTCTCTATGTGCAGACTGTATGTCCACAGTAGGCTTGGATAGAGCCTTTCAGACTGCAGATTTAAGTGGGGGGGGGGAGGGATTGAGAAGAACCATTAAAGGCTACTGTCATCTATACTAGGCAAAATAAACATCACAAAAATGTTTCAATTCTGAAGCTTCATCATGCAATAACCATATGATATCTGCTTATTGCCACAAACAAATCACTTTTCCTTCCATTTTTACAACAGTGACATAGCAGAGAGGCTTTTCTCAAACTGTGTGTCTACCTTGAATCCATCACACTAATGATTTTATTTTAGCCCTTGGTAAGATATGCTTATTTCAGATACAACAGAGCTGAGCACAGACACTCTCTCATACAAAGGTAAGATGCAATATCCATTTGAGATCACACACTAAATCACCATCAGCTGATAAATTGATAAATTAACAGTAATGCAAGTCTTGTAGGCAATATGTGATATAAATGTTCAGGTTTTTCCAAGTTTTAAAAATACAACAAGCAAGGTCACTTTCTGGTTTGTCCATTGTAATCTGAAACTGAAGACCAAGGAGCTTTAAGTTGCAAATATCTACAGACCATAAACCATTCTATCGTATGAAAAATGTCATTTGAAATCAAACAGAGTTATTCCGCAGCGGTCCTCTGAAAGGCATTTCAGTTCAGTTTGGTGTTGAAAAACACAGTTGTGTTCTTAAATTTGCTGCCATTGTTCCCCAGCATAAAAAGGCAACAGAGGGAGTTCAGTACAACACTAACAAATGCAGATGAAACGAAGTTAGAAGGTCCAGAGTTTCTGAATGGTTCTAGTTCTACAGTCTTTTGGGAGGAAGAGGCATTTTTAATTAAAAGAAACAAGGGAAATGTTTTCTAAAGTTGGACAGAGCAGTCTTTTTTTAAGTTTTTTGTTAGCTTTCTAGATAGGACCTACTTGCCTTTCAAATGTGGCACCATAAAATGTACAAAAACTGCATTCTTTCAACAGCGCAAGACAAAAGTGAACACCTAACAGTACTATGGACATCATAAGAAAACAACCTTTCACTATTATGAAGAAACTTAATTTATTTTGAAGAATCTTGTTTGCTGATAAGGACTTCAAGAAGCCGCAGTTTGGCTTTAACTTTCTTGTACTCTCTGTACTCATCAAGCATGGGAGCACGATCTTCTTTCTGAACATTTCTGGAAAAATAAAGCCAATGCAACATTTAACAATTCTGACCAATTTTGTTGGTTTGAAATAGATTGGGGATGCATGCAGGCTAGAGGCGTTTCATGTTATACTGGTGAACTGGAGGTGGGGCATCTGTCATCCTTGACCCTGTGCTTCATTCTAAGCATTTTTAGGCAAAAGCTTGTATTTTCTGAAGTAAGTACAAACATCAATTCATGGAAGGAACCTAGTAATCAGATATATATTGCTTCTGAACATGGAGGTTACATTTCTATCAAAGGTAAAATAATAGCATGTGGTAACAATTTAAAGAAGTAACAAGAAAAGGAAACACATCTGCAGCACTCTACTCATAACAGTGCACATTTCATTTTATCTGATGTTCTCAAGGTTTTACAAATTGTTTATAAAAAGTTAACAACTTTGTGGGGTTTTTTTTAAAGGTTAAAAACCCATTTAAATGAGTAAGAGTAGCCAAGCCCGTTCACATTCCACCCAAATCAGTGCAAAAATGTTACAGGGTGGAATTCAAACTAGTGCTAATTGCATTGTAAGCGCAAACATTTCTGCTTGCCTAATCGAACTGTCTCCTCTGTTTGCATGCTGTTCTGGGGCTTCTTTCAATCTCCCCAGAACTGGCTGGGGGGGGGGGAGAGAGAAAGGGGAGAAAAATACATTGTGCTGCCTCCTACTAGCATAGCTATTTAGTTGAATCCAGTACATAACGTTTAACAAGGCTGCATTGTCGTCATAGCAAAGTTGAGAGATGCCGTTGACAGTAATATTGAAGTTCTATTATGCTACATTTCTCAGTATCTTTATGGAATGTAATGACTTATTTGATTGGCGAGCATTATGTGTAATGAATTTGAAGCCCCCTCCAGCTTCTTTCACAGAACCTATTTCTTGCTGAATTGGGGTAAAAATGGCTAGAATCCAATGGGAAACGTGTACTAAATTTTATAATTTATTTTAATTGGCTATATTTATACAAATATTCATTTAAACCAAATAGTGTGCCTGATGATCCTACTAAAATAGATGAACATTAGAGGCCACATTTGCAAAATCCAATCAAGGGACCCACTGTTAACCAATGTTTCCTGTTGCAAGTAAACATAGAAGCTATGTGTTTCCAAACCTAGAAGCTATGGCTTCCAAACAAGCCAGGGTATAAATCTATGGTTTAAAGTTGGTTTACGAATCCTGGTTTGTTTGAAAGTCTTAAACCAGAGTTCCCAGTTTGCACCTAGTGTAAAGCTATAGTTAACTGTGGATTCCTTGTTTTCCCACTTGTACAAAGAGAGAAGGCAAAGGGCTGCATGCAATTGCACAAAGCAAGTGTATCCTGGCTTAGTAAGAGTCATGTGAACGGCGTCAGTGTTACGTTGTCATTTTCAACACTGTACATTACTAACATAACTAATGCCTTCACCAACAAACACAATTGCACATTTGTCTCATCTTCATTATGAGTAAACTTCTGGGCCTACAATCATTGTATATTCAACTAACCTTCCATTCTGCTGATAAAACCCTTCTTCAAATTCCCGTAGAGTTTTGCGCAATTTCTTTTTTTCAGCTCTGGCTTTCCAAAGTTGCTCCAATAATTCAGGCCTACAAAATTATAAAAAAATGCATAGGGTAATCAAAACCATCATGGATATTCCACCCATCAACAAAGCAATAATATCAATGCCCCTTGCGCAGCATTTTCCAGGTGCCTGACAGCCAGCTGCAGCGCTGAGTATAGCATAGCTGCTTTCTGCATTCATCAGCTATGCAATCAAGTTCACCATAGGGGAATGGATTGGCTGTGTGATGATGTTTCCCATGGGGAACTTGGTCACACAGCTGATCCAGCTGCACCTCTGCTTGCCCCACAACTGATGTGGTTTTGGGAGAACAGCCTCTCAGGTCAAACTGGGATCAGAGCTGGGCCAGATCTGGCCCATGGGATCCTCTGATTTAAACAACTAAGTAAGTACGTAAAATGATTTGGCTGACCTGTTACAGGAGGACATTGCAAATGAAAACCCTTCACTGTTCCACCTCACACCCCATCATGATCCACAAGTGTTTTAAAAAAATAACAATCAGCTGTTTTGATTACAAAACTACATTTGTTGTGTGGTGCTCACATGGTCGCATTTACGTACATGGAAGCTGCACGTGTACTCGACAGACGAAGCTCTCGAGTCAATTTCTCTTGACTTTCTTCAACATCAGATTCTGAGTTTTCAACTGGACTAGTAGTAATAGACTGCGTTTGGGTGTTAGTTTTTAAGAGATCAGTGAACTCTGATGACACATCACCATCTTCCTCCTCTTCCTGAAAAATAATAAAATTGTTGTTCAAACATGCATTACGTATTTCAACTACCTGAGCCACAAACCAAGTAAAAGACACATTCATTCTGCACACACATTCAAGCTTACATTTTTGTTACAATTTGAGGTGTAGAGATGTGTATATTAATGTGAAATGCTGCACTTAAACTCAAGTGTACACTATAGGCCCTTATGGGACCTCTGTTGTCTTTGGATAGATTAAAATACCTTGATTTCTTCAAAGAAGTGGGCTGTTTCTCCTTCAATGATAGGTTGTAACATCTGACCTCGTCTTTTGGTTGATGGTGAGCCCTAAAATATACGTCACAATATGTTACACAATATACAAGAAATCTATTATTTTGTTCAGCTTACGTTTTGGTTGAGTACAGCATCATTTTATATTTTGCACTATGTTGGCTAAACAGCACATTCAACCCTAGACAACATATATCTTCTGTCATTTGTTCCCAGCATAAAGTGAGAACAGTAAATCTTACATGCAAACCAATGGCCAATTCTCTACTACTGCACAGGAAGCTTTACAGTGTGTCTAGAGAAAGATCACCATGTTAAAAAATGGTAGTCATTTCAGACAAATATTGATTTGATGAATGTAGACAAATAGACACATTTAACATTTGCTACAGCTGTGAAACTAAATAACATCTTAAGAACTGCTGAGAGTTGGAACTAGTTTCATTACCCGATAATTGTTATTTATCCTACCCTTCCAAAGTAGCCGTGGGTAGTAACCACCAAAGTAAGAAAAACATTTTTTAAAAATAAACTGAATACATATTCAAAACATTTAAAAATGAAAAGCTCTAAAAAATTTAAAGGCACTAATGAAAAATTTAAAGGCATTAATGAAAATTAAAAGCTCTAAAAAATTTAAAGGCATTAATAATTTGCAAATCCAAAACTAGGAGACCATATGAAAACAAGAGTAAGGATTAAAAACATTCACTATCTAGTGTTTCACTACCTAGCTTGGGAACACCTGTTTTGAGCATAAGGGCTAGTCCAGAAGGGAGACATCTAGCAAGATGAACACTCATTGTTGAGGCAAGTACACACCAATCAGTTGGAAAATGTATGAAACACTGATTAACTACTTACAAGGATGGGAGTAATGCTCGCTCGAGTTAACATTTGTTTCACAAGCCTGTATCTGTCATAGAGAGGTTTAACAACATGCCTTTCTTCTTTGGAGACCTGAGTGGAAGCAGAAATGGGTTATCTAACACTCAAAACAAAACAGGGTATCTTCACCACTAAGGATCACATGATGTCAGAGTCTCCTTGCTCCTGAAGTAGTCCAGTTGATATGCAATGCTAAGCCATGATTTAGCACTATGTGGACATGTTTCCAGCAGCCTGAGCAAAGTACCGGCTTGCAACACTTTCCTCTTCCCACACGGTGGGAGTAGGGCTTCTGCCAACTTTTGTTTTACTTTAAACTATTTTGGCCTGTCATTAGATATGATCCTGTTTTAAAACAATGACTGTGTTCACACATAAAACAAGTGCAGTCCACTCCCTGGCCTAGTCAGTTTTTAAATCTGTGATTTTAATTTGGAGCTGTGAGGTCCATAAGCACAGTGCTCATACACACAAACCACAATAAGCCAGGAAGTCTAGCTTATCATTATGAACAAATGTGGCCAATTATGAGTTGCTAAACAAGCCAACTTTGATCCATGGGTTGGTTATAGAGCTGGCTTGTTTAACAGATTATTGTTTAAATCAGGGTTTGTGGTTCATACACGATGCTAAGCAGTGGTTATTTGGCAGCAAAATTTAACTCAGCAAAAGCTTTCCTCCCAGTCACATGTGAACCCAACACTTCACTCAGGCTAATGGAGTTTCGTCCTCATAGTGCTTCCCCCATAGTTTATCATAACAAGTAAACATGAGCATTATCTGGTGACACTTCAAATAGCTGGAGAATACCAAAACTGTGCAAGTTCACAATTTAGGTGTGGACAATAAGTAATCACAGAAAAATAAAGCTTTCCAATACTGGTAATTTTGCATCTTGCTACTGAATGTGAATTCTGTAGAAAGTGTGTACTTTTGCAATGTTTTACACAGGAATGTACAGAGGCCTGACTAATCTCCCTACAGTGCCAGAAGAAGGATTATTTATCTGTTATTTATTTATACCAAATACCAAAGCAGTGAACTGAAAACAAAAATACAATAGAATATCAGCTCAGAATAGTTCTTCCCTCCTCGGTGTTAACAGTGTTTAAAGAGCTACCCTTTGAATCTTATTTTGCAGCTCATTCTTTGAGCCTCTACATGGCACACATTCAATCTATATGCTATCTTAAGAATCATTTGGTAATCATAAAATATGAGAATTATTTGAGGCAGGTGTTCAGTGATATTTCATAACCACATTAACTGTGTATTAAATAATTGCAGAGAATGAAATAATGAATATTACCGGTCGTCCATGCTGACTTTCATAGTACAAGAGACTTTTTTGGAGAGACGTTTTTTCTTCTACCAGATCATCCTTCGTCATTTTCTGTAACAAGAGAGACAAGTGTCTTACTCTAAATCTGCTCTGTA